TTTAGAAATTAGGCTTAGCAAAGGAAACACTTTGTATAGAATATTTATATACTTACTTAATTTTACTATTTGCCTTGATAGTTTGGTAGTCTTACTTTTTGATTTAATTTCACTTAATCATAATTTAACTTGCTAATAAAATAGGGTTAAAGAGGTAAGAGGAAATATGACTGTATTGCTAGATTCTCGTGGTCAAATGTCAAGAAACTGAGTACACATCACCTCTTGTGTTCTGGTATTATTGTTCCCGTTAGGAAGGGAAATCAGGCAAAGCATGAAACAGAATGATGTGATGGATGGTGTACGGGTTACTGAAACAAGGCACCGGAGAGCAGACAAGCTATCTGCAACATAGCATTTCCTTCCTTTTGTGATAAGCCGTACAAATTAGAACTTTTTTTGGTCAACTTTACCTATTGGTTTGCTAATTTCTATGGATTAGGTTATATAATGGCACCATTTCAGGAAATCAATTAGCATTTAAGTCTATAAAATATTTAAAATTACTTTAAAAAGTCTTTTTAAAAAATTTATGTATTTCTCAGAATGGTATGTAATAACTTTGTAGATTGCCGTAAGAAATTTTGATTATGCAGTACTGTCTGTATTGCTGAAATGTCAGAGACCTGAAAATTCCCATCAGTTCCATTAACTCATTTAACATTACGGGTTTGGGGCCAGCAGGTGGCATGGTGGTTACATCGCTGGACTTCCACATGGCCTATTGCAGTGTGAGTCCCGGATCAGTGGCTTGAAAGTCACACCCAGCACGTGTGTGTGCATGCCCCAGATCCCAGGAGGCGAATGGAGGAGAAGGGGTTGTGATATGGCCATCTCTCCTGGGGGGTGATTTCTCATTTTTCCTCTCACTGTACTCTCCCCACCCTCTGGGAGCACACATGCCCTAAGGCAAAAACCTCTTTTAGAAACAAAATGAAAAGATTACAGTTCAATGAAATCTGTTGCTTTTAGGAGACAGCATTAGTTTTTTATGGATTTTAAGGATTTAAAAAATAAACAGAACAAAACCTGGACACAGGGATAATTGATAGAGTGCCAAAGTCGTTTCTAAAGCCGACTTGCTATTTGTGTGTAGCTGCTGGTGACACAGTTTTGCCCTGGCTTACTTTATGTGCTATGACGTAAGCACTTTGAGTCTCTAATAGTGGTTGGCACGCTGTGGCACGCGGGCCAGATTTGGCCTACCGCCTGCTTTTGTGTGGCTTAAGAAGTGAGAAAGATTGGGAAAAATGTAAAGAATATTATTTTGTGGGGACCAGCAGTTAGCATAATGGCTATGTCACTGGACTCCCACGTAGTCAACTGCGGTTCACGTCCCGGACCCGGTGGCTTAAAACTCACGCCGGGCGCGTGTGCGTGCGTGCCCAAGATCCCGAGAGGAGAATGGAGGAGAAGGGATTGCGACATGGCCATCCCCCTGGGGGGTGATTTCTCGCTTTCTGTCTCTCTCTGTCTGTCTGGCGAGCGCATGCGCCCTATAGCAAAAACCTCTCCAAAAGGAAAACAAAAAAGAATATTATTTTGTGATTTGTGAGACTTACATGGATTCTAATTTCAGTGTCTGTAAATAAAGTCTTATTGGAACACAGCTGTGCTTATTTGTTTATTTGTGGTCTACGGTAGCTTTTGTGCTCTAACAGCAGAGTTGGGAGAGAGAGAGAAAGAGCACGTGTGCGTGTTTCTAACAGACCATATGGCCTTCGAAGTTTAAAGTATTTTACTCTCAGGCCCTTTATAAAAAGTTTGCTGATCTCTGATCTAGAATTATGTAGTCTATACCTTTAATTTTGATATAGTACATAATCCTGAAGAAATTATTTTCTATTTAATGTATAGTATTTTTTCTGAGAAACTTAGCAGTTGATAAAGTCAGTGGAGATGCAGGTCTAACAGTTGTTCCCAAACCTTTTTTTTTTTTTTTTTTTCCTTATTTTTAATTTGTTGTAGGGCATGTGTGCTCACCAGAGAGAGACAGAGCAAGGGAGAGAATGAGTCAGAGAGAGAGTGAGACAGAGAAAGAAAGCATCCCCATGGGGGATGACCAGGCCACAATCCTTTCTTCCCCATTCTCCTCTTGGGATTTTGGGTACTCACACACATGCACCTACACTGCTTTCACGTCGCCAGGTCTGGGACTTGAATTGCTCAGTTGGTCATGCGGGGATTCCGTTGCCTTAATCTCTACACCCACTTGGCTGGCCCTCCAAACCTGTTTTTCATATGATCCTATTGGCAGTCTTACTTAATGATATAAATTAGTGGCTCTCGAAATGTGGTCTTCAGATCTCTGGATATTTCTGAGATGTCTTCAGGAGGTTCACAAAGTAAAACACTGTTTTGATAATAAGGCCAGGACATTCTTTGCCTTTTCTCTCGGTTGATATTTGCACTGATGATGCAGAAGCAGTGGTGGGTCAAACTGCTCTGCGTGGGCATGAATCAAGACAGTGGTACCGAACTGTGCAGTCCTCATTGCATACACTTGTAAAACCGGAGCTCATTTCTCCTAGGAATGGCCTTGATAAAGCAGTAAAAACTGTTGCTTTTATTAAATTGCCATCCCTGGATACAGGCCTTCTTAATATTCTGTGTGACAAAAGGGGAAGTATACAGAGAGACACTGCAAACTGAACTACCATTGTTGTCTTGAGAAGCTTTTGTTTAGTGGTTGGACCCAGGAACTGAACCAGCTGCTCTTTTTGAGGGACAGTTGACAAACTATTGTTATTCAGACTTGGGTATTTGGAAAATTTTTCTCTAAAGTCAATGAAGTTAGATTACACTTTGAGAAAAACAACTGATAGTATTTGGTGCCAATGATAAAGTTAGAGGTTTTCAACCCCAAATTAGAATTTTTAAATAACCTCTGCCACTTTCAGTTTGATCATTTCCCAATACTTAAAGAACTTTTTGTTGAGATCAGTGGTCATATTAACAAATGTGTGTTTTTTGGTGGGGGATATTGTAATGATGAAAAGTACCAGCATTTGAAAGATCTGTGTAGCTCAGAGAACCAAAATTTTCATATGATCAGTGAGGAACGTTTGTGTGGTTAAAAAAATCCACTCAGTGTACAAGGCAGACCAGTGGATTTGAATGTAACAGATGGAAATTTCATTGATATGGTTTTACATTTGACATTGCTACTAAGCTTTAAACAACTACCACTTGTGGAATTTTGGTTTAGCATCAGAGAACAGTATTCAGAATTACCTGAAAAGGCTACCAAAATAACTTGTCCCTTTTTCAGGTACATAGCTATATAATGTTTTCTTCTTATCTTTCAACCAAAATAATGTATAACAAGCTCCATGCAGAATTAGATATGAGAATCTAGAATCTTCTGTCAAGCCAGATATTAATAAGATTTGTAAAAAATGTAAAACAGTGTTATTTCTCTTAGTAGAGTTAGTTTTGTTTGGGAAAACATATTTTACATGAAAATTATACTAACATTTAATGAATGGGCTTTATTGTTTTATTTTTTAAATTCTTAGTCTTATTCTCTACCAATATTGGAAAATATATACATATATAATGCACATCAACGAAAGCTTTTGGGAGTCCTCATTCTTTTTTAAAAGAATTACTTTTATTTCATTTTATTTACTATTATTATTATTATTTTTATTTTAAAATTCGTTATAGGGCAAGTGCACTTACCAGAGAGAGAGAAGGAGAGAGAGAAAGTGAGAGCCAAGCCGCCATGTCTAGGACTTGACCCTTGGTTTGCCATGTGGGAGTCCAGCGCTTTACGCACTACGCCACCTGCTGGTCCTGTCCTTTCTCATTTTTAAGAGTGCGAATGGAGGTCCTGAGACCAGAAAGTTTATTTTTGTTGAAGGTCATGCTCATTTATCATAAAGTCAGCTATATGAAGTGGGAGAAGGAATTTTCACTGCTAATTAGTTGAGTAGTACCTCTTATTTATAATTTTTTTATTCTGAAAAGGAAAGTGCAGATATAGGCCAAAGTTCTCTCCAAAAACTTGTGGAATAGGCTGAGATTAAAATTTCTAAAATTTTAGTCCTTTTTAAAAATAACACTAAATAGCATACATTTTTGTGCTTATGGATGGTTATTTAAAAGCATGTCTCTGAGCATGCATTACATAATTGTCACATGATTATTATTTAACTATGTTATAATAGCTGTTATTTAATGATAGCTTTATTGTGCTTTATATGCATTAACTCTTCCTTGTTTAAAGCCTTGCATAATAAGTGATATTAAGTAACTTGTCATTGGTCTCACTGTTTTTGTTGTTGTTTTTTAGTTTGTTATAGGGTGTGTGCAGTTGCTAGAGAGAGCGAGAGCAGGTGAGAGTGAGAGAGAGAGAGAGAGAGAGAGAGAGAGGGAGAGGGATCTTTCCTCAGGGGAGATGGCCATGCTGCATTCCTTCCTCCTCCATTCTCCTCTTGGGATTTTGGCACCCATGCACATGCACCCAGTGCATTATTCAAGCTGCTGGGTTCAAGACTTGAACCACACTGTTGGCCATGTGGGATCTAGTGCCTTAACCTACGTAACACCTGGTGCCCCACACTGTACATTTTAAGAGCTGAGATCCATGTATTTTTTTCCCGTTTTATTACAAAGATTTTACTCTTTTCCCTTTATCATAATGTTTTGTTTAGAGCAGCTATGTGTATAAACATGCTTTCTGTGTACAGCTTACAAGATCTTGTGGCGAAGCCTTGTTTCTTTTTTTTTTTTTTTTCCAGGAAGGCTGAAGACTTGTCTTTAATTTTGGTTTGATGATTAAGACAGTGAGATTGTCTTCCAAAGTTAAAAGAGAGTACGAAAGTAGATGACCTAAGCTGAAGCAAATTGCTAGACACCGATTTCCAATCAGTAAATTACAGCCTTCCTGATCAACTTGATAGTATGAAAAGATGTGTAGATAGCGTGACTTGTCTTCTTTTTTTTTTTTTGCTAATTCTCGATTTAATATCTGCTTGCTACTGTCATATTTCCAGGCTTCTCCAGTGACAGTGATCTGGTATCTCTCACTGTTGATGTGGATTCTCTTGCTGAGTTAGACGATGGAATGGCTTCCAGTCAAAATTCTCCCATTAGAACTCTTTGTCTCAGTCTTTCTTCGGATTCGTCAGCCCTAGGGGCTGCTGCTTCTGACTCCGACCAGAACAAAACTGAAGAAGAACGAGAAAGTCGTAGCCTCTTTCCTGGCAGTTTAAGACCCAAGCTTGGCAAGAGAGATTACTTGGATAAAGCAGGAGAATTAATAAAACTGGCTTTAAAAAAGGAAGAAGAAGATGATTATGAAGCTGCTTCTGAGTTTTATAGGAAGGGAGTTGATTTACTCCTTGAAGGTGTTCAAGGTATGGTTTTATTTATCTATGTTGGTATATCTTGGCATGTTTATATGTTGGGGAAAAAGCATATCAGTATATCTTCTGTATAGAAGCAAGACTGAAGTGAGAAATTATAGCAGTTCCCCTCTTAAGTTTCACTTTCTACTGTTTGAGATACCCACAATACAGTATAATAAATTTTTTTTTTGAGAAGTTTTAGCTATAGGGCGCGTGCGCTTGCCAGACAGACAGAGAGAGACAGAGAGATAGAAAGCGAGAAATCACCCCCCAGGGGAGATGGCCACGCCATAATCCCTTCTCCTCTATTCTCCTCTCAGGATCTTGGGCACGCACGCACACATGCCCGGCATGAGTTTAAGCCACTGGGTCTGGGACGTGAACTGCGGTCGACTACGTGGGAGTCCAGAGACATAGCCATTACATTAACGGCTGGTCCCACAGTATAATAAAACATTTTGAGAGTGAGAGCGAGCATACATTCGTATAACTTTAATTTCAGTATATTGTTATAATTGTTCTATTTTGCTATCAGTTATTGCTATTAATGTCTTATTATGCCTAATTTACAAATTAAACTTCATCATAGGTATGTATGTAAGTACAGGAATAGGCATAGTCCTTTTATATAGGCTTCTGTACTGTCCGTGGTTTTAGATATTCATTGGAGTCTTGGACCCTATCCCCAGCAGATAAGAGGGGACTATTATATTGATGATTTTTTAAAAGAATTATTTTTATTTTAACTTTATTTATTGTTGTTATTTTCAAATTTGCTCAGAGAGAGGGAGAGAGAGAGAGGGAAAGTGAGAAAGCAAGCTACCAGGTCTGGGACTTGAACCATGGTTAACTATGTGGGAGTCCAGCATCTTCAACCACCATGCCACCTGCTGGCCCCGATGATTAAATGATCTATATATGGATATATCCTTTTAGTTATATGAGATGTTTGACTTTATTAGAATTACTTCATTAACACTCTACTTTGAGTAATAAGTCTACAAGAATACAGTTTTAATAAAATGTCAGCAAGTCTCCAAATCTCTTGTATGCATAATAATCTGTTTTTCTGACTTGACTAGTGTCGGCTAGCCTTCACCTCTCTCAGGGGTAATTGATAGAGATTCTCTAGTGTGTGTACTTTCAGTGGTCTGAAGAGGCAAAATAAAATGAGTCTTTAAACTAAGAGTGTTAAAAGGTCCTTAGATCTGCCTACTATTTTGTTTGTTGTGTTAGTTACAGTAAATTCTCAGCTCATTAATGGAGGTGATGTGGGACATGTTGAGATGAGTGTAGCTGAATGTCTCCAAGTACCACTTCCTTTTTTGGCATCAGCTTTTGTTTTAATGCTTTGCTTTTTCCTTATAGAATCAGAATGAAGCATACTGCAATTTAATGTCTTTTTAGACACAATAATGAAAGGTTAATATGACCTTTTAGTGTTTTTTTTCCCCCTATGAAACCATATGTTTTATTATTGTTCTGTGTTTTTTTTTTTTAATATGTTAGTACCATTTAAATGATGATGGTCTCATGTATTACTAACACTTTTTGCTACAGTACTCTTTATTATACTTGCCAACATGTAGTCCAGAGCCAGTTTTGCTTTTCCTAGAGTATAAACTTGCAGCCTTATAATGTGACTTAAAGGTGTATACCCGGCTCTGTAGAGTGAAATGAGTGTATTATGGGTGTGTGTGTTGGGGGAGGGTGGCCCTAACTGCTTAACCAGATTTTGACCCATTTTCTTATTTTTCATCTCCACTCCCACTTCCATAGCTACTTAATACTATCACTTCTTAATAGCTGTTGGGTTTTTTTTTTTATTGTTACTTTTGTTTGCTGGAGGAGTATTTTGGTCTTTAAGGGCTGCTCATTTTAGTTCTTTGCTGTAACTCTCACTTTGGGTTGGGAGTTTAATGTAGGATGAGATGAAAAAAATCTGCTCTGATATTTCCCTCTTTTCAGATCCTCGTGTGCTAAAACACTGCTGGTGTTTAAATGACATAGATAGCACACATCACTGTGACATTTTTCTCTATAATTGCATTTAATCTTAGAACACTTCTTAATGTTACCACTTGATGGCACCAGAAAAATAAAAATCTTCACTTCAAAATAAGAATTACAGATGCATATCAGCAAATGACAAAGAATATACCTTTTACTTAGTTACTTTCCTGACTAGGGTGATAAATTTTTTCTTCACTAGAACTTAATATCAAATCTACTAGACCTCTGTTTTAAGGAATGTTTTCGTTTAAACATATTTCTCCTATTTAATCTATGTCTGTCTGTCTGAAATCACAGTATTCATTCCTGCCTTGGATTGCTTTTTGTTGTAATGCCATCAAATTTAAAAGTTAGTAACCGACTGAATGCTTTTTTATTCTTTTACTGCTTGTGTATAAATGTGATGGATTTTTATTCAAACTATGGGAACCATACTCAGAAGTCTAGTTTTTAATTGATATGTTAAAAAACTGCTGTTTTAATTCTCATGCTTATACATTTGACTTAGTGTTAAATGTAAGTACTTTCATATGGGCTTAGTACATAGTCCTTTTATGTAGGCTTCAGTACTATCTGTGGTTTTAGATACCCATTGGAGTCTTGGACCCTATCCCCAGTGTATTGATGATTTTTTTAAAGAATTGTTTTTATTTTAACTTTATTTGTTATTATTATTTTCAAATTTGCTCAGAGAGAGAGGGAAAGTGAGAGCAGTGTTTGTAGTCTTTAGATTCTATTTAAAAGTATACAAGTCACCACCTAAGGGACGTAGGGATATTACCCTTTAATTTGTGGGGAAACTGGGAACTCTTAACGTGTAAGCTTGATTTGACATTTATGCTCAAAGGATGTGTTTCCTTGGGGACTGCCTTTTCCATGGTGACACAACTGTTACTGAAACGTCACTATAACCAGTAATGCATACATACTATTTATTATTATTACTACTATTCATTTTATTTTGTGAGTTTTTGCTATAGGGCATATGTGCTCACTGACAAGAGACAGAGAAAGAGAGGGGGAGAGAGAAAGAGAGAGAGAGTGAGAAATCATGCCACAATCCCTTTTCCTCCATTCTCCTCTCAGGATCTTAGGCACGAATGCACACATACCTGGTGTGATTTTCTTTTTCTTTTTTCAGAGAGATTTTTGCTATAGGGCATATGTGCTCCCTGGAGAGACAGAGAGACAAAGTGAAAAATTACCCCCTGGGGGGATGACCATGCTGCAATCCCTTCTTCTCCATCTCCTCTTGGGATTTTGGGCACACACACATATGCACCTGGCGTGAGTTTTAAGTTGCTGGGTCCGGGACTTGAACTGTGGTCAACTATGTGGGAGTCCAGTGATGTAACCATTACACCATCTGCGGGTCCCCCTAGTGTAATTTTTAGGCTGCCCATTGAAGTACTCAAACAGTACAGTCTGCCTTGTGGGACCTAATGTCCTAATCCCCACACCACCTTCTGCCCCCACCCCCAGTAATTATCTATAAATCATTTGAATTTAATTATTTTTATAATAGTTGATTTTGTGAACTTGGCTTGGATTATATGCTATATGATAAAATAATTATTTTCAGGTCTCTGATAATTCAGAGAAAATAATCTTTCAGAGTTTAGCAGGGTTGCTTTATATGGAGAATCTATGGGTTGGCAAAATTTTTATTTCACTATTAAACTATTCGTTCTAAAAGAGTTTATCTGGGTTGTTCGTAGATCTGATAAAGATGGCCTGATGTTTTTCTTACTTGATTGCGTTTGCACAGCTGAGACTAGATGTAAAACACAATAGCACAGTTCTGTTTGCCGATGCAGCAGAGAAAAAGCAAACCCTGATAGTGGTAACTTCGGATTCTCTTTGTGAATCTGACACTTCACTTAATCCTCTAGTTTAGAAATGGCTCTTGAAATGAAGAGGGTACTGTCTATTCTTCTAAATTCCCAGGTCTTTATGGACTTAAGATAGGAAATCCAAAAGTCAACTCCAGGAATCAGCTTGAATCTTTGGAGGGAATATTGCAGTATATGTCATTATTTCATGTCCATCTTGTTTATATATTAATGTTACTAGAAGTGGCTAATACAATTAATCTGTATTCTGAGTGTGCCTTTGTTGAAATATTTATGATAATGTAGAGTGGCAAATGGATTACATAAAGGTATTCATTAATGAAATGTTTGAGTAAGAAAAATTTATTATCTGTTACATGACTGTTAGTGTACAAGGTGTTTTTTTCTTATGTTATTTTTAATCTTCAAAACGACCTCATAATCTGAATTGTGACTGGTCATACTGGGCTTTGTCTAAGGACACCAAAATTTAGAGGGTGCAGACATTTAAAGTAATGATTCTAAAACCTTGGCACCTAGTTAGCAAGAATAATTATTTAAAACAGGAAGCTACCAGATGGCGAGCATTGTTAGTAACACCCATCTGTGGGAAACATCATGAATTACAGAGTTGATCTGAGAGCTGGTTTTGTATAGTTTGTTTCAGGTGCCAACTTTGCTGGTTTGCTGTGTTTGTAAGGTAGATATCATAATCCCCATTTTTCAGGTGAAGGAAACCAAGGCTTGTATAAATTAAGCAGTTTGCTTAAGGGTAGAAGTTGGTCAGAGTTGAGCCAGGATTTTAATCTAGGTCTTTCTGAGTCCAAATACTGTCTTCTTTCCACTATGTCATGTTGCTTCTCACATATCTATCCACTCACTAACTAGACTTGCCTTTCAAAAAGGAAAAGTAACAGATCTTCTCTAGTATCAAATATTAAAAAATATTTTTTATTTTGAATATGCATTCTTTTTCTTTCTTTTTTTAAATAATTTTTTTAAAGAATTATTTTATTTATTCATTCATTTATTTTTTAATTTGACCAGAAGGAGACAGAGAGAGAGAGAGAGAGAGAGAGAGAGCGAGAAAGAAAGCCCG